CCAGTAAAGATATCACTGCTGCATTTTTTAAAGCAAAATTTATTTTAATTTCAAAGTTACTTATTGTTTCTTTTATTTTTATTTTTTGTCGGCACTGAACGCCTGAACATTCCAATCGTTTCTCAGGTGGAACTTTTTGATACTTTAATTCTTATAATTCTAAAATGTCTATTATGTCCTTCCTGTTTTAAAGGCATTTGCTGATTTGCATTGCTTATGTAAAGATTTTTTTTGAAAATATCAACCAAACTGTGGCTCATTTTAGCTAAAATTACAAAGTTTTATTAGTCTTTTTATTGTTATATTTCTAAAAGTATCAGTTTGTTTTTATAAAGGTAATGTATGATACACATACAATGGCAGAAATATGTAAAGTTTTTGAAAAATAGACTGCCATAATGCTAAAAACAGACACCTCAAAAGTACACATACAGTATAACACTGCAGGGCTTGAATCATTTTCCATCTCCCCTTTCTGATTCCTTTACATGCATACTGAATAAGCGTTGCTGTCGCTTTAATTTCCATCCCTGCATATCTGGAGGAGTTAAAGCAAAGCAATTAAAACAAAGGCATATTTAACATGAGGTTAATGATTGGCTGACCCTGGAGTCAGCACAGTGACAATATCTTAATTATTGAGAAACCTAAAGTCATTACGCCTACGAATGGCCTGAGGAGCATCTCTATTGATTGGGATCCAGTCCCATTACAGGCCCAGTCTGGACCATTGAAGCCCTTATTATAGACAGTCTTTTTCTCTCTCTTCCCCCTGCTTCATGTTTTTCTTTCTTTACTCGCTCACTCTGTCTTTCTTTCTTTGTGTCCCTCTTCAAACTATTGAATGTATTGAACTGTGAGACAAAATCCAGACAAAGAATTTGAGCTGTTCTTCTTAAAATATATATATTAGAATAAATATTTATTCATCTACTATGTTGCAAAACGATAACTTTGTGTATGTTACAGTAAAAATAAAGGATATATATTGTCTCGAACACCAACAAATTCCAGTCAAAGTGTTGGCATGCCTTGTATTTACAAGAGGAAATCTTTTTTTATACTTTGTTCTGTATTGTTTGCTTTTTAACATTTTACTTCAACTTAGAAAAACATTGGACTAAGATTATCACAAATGTGATCCTTTGAAGTAACATGGTGTCCACATGTACTGTGTCTGTTGATGCTTTCAGACATGTCTCCATACATTATGGGAATATCCGGGAAGATACCGATACCAAAAACAGCTGATAAATCACAAGGTAAATGTTTGCTACGTCAGAACTAATTCAGCAAATATGATTCCTTCCCCCCTTTTGCACATTAGCTGTTTTGTTGTTGTCGTTTTTGTTTTTCTTTTTAAATCCAAAAGCCACAAGCATTAAAACATTTTAGCAAAATTATAGATGTTTTAGTCAAATTTTGCCATTTCCATCAATCTTTTCTCATTGTTGAAGGAAACACGGCTAATGCCAACCACGCTAATGGTGAAACTTAAAATCTAATGAGTGACTATTTTAGGACTGTAACGCTTAAACTGTGTCATCACAGTAACTACAAGTTACACCTAAAATCCACTAATCTGTGAACACAAACCAAAGCAGCTTCTGTACCATTAAAACCTACACAACTGATACAACACACACACACACATATGCAGGTTTAGCTACACAAACTTTTGCTTGTTGACTGATCACGCACTTTACTCTGCCTTTTTTTCCCATAATCGGTAATGTCAGGGAGACACCAGCCAATTCAATCTGTACTGGCCTGTGAGTGAAGCAGTGTGTCACTGTGTGTGTTTGAAGATAAATACAGAGGCCAGATGACTTCTCCACCGTCACACCGCTTCCTCCTCTTGTGGGAGTGAAGCAGCATGGGAAGATCTGAGATTTAATTACCCAATCAGTGTGTGCCATCCTTATTAAAACACTACTAACAGTGCTCCATTATTGAAATACCCCCCACTGGACTCTTCTTAATTCATTAAATGAATTAGCACCAGCACCTTTAATAATTCATATGATGTCTACATATTTTTCCCTCATCCCCACAGAGGGTAACTAAGACAAAAAGAACAAAAATGGTAATGAAGGCAAGAACAAGATGATACTCAGCAGAGGAGAGCAGTGAGTGAGAATGATGCTTATTAACAGAAAATAAATAAACCAGATCTTAGTAAAGGAAAAAAAACACTTTCTCTCAGAACTTATGACCATTATAACTATATTATGAACTTTTTAGGCCTTTTATTTAACATTTATTACTTTTACTTGAGTATAACAAGCAATTTATATCAGTTAAATCCCCCCAGTTACACACAATTACATTTTAATTCAAGTAATTATTTATAATCCAGAAACAATGCCAAGAAATTTAGATTACAGGCGATATGAGGTGGCACGTGTCTTTTAACAGCATGTCTTCATTTTTTTTCACTTAGCTTTTATGTGCCTCTCATTTGTGTTGCATTATTGTGCTAATGAGAATATCCTTTAAGCTATGAGCAAAAAAAAAGCTAAAAGACAAATAAGGTGAGGAATCAGACAGGGGGCATCTTGCTGTGTCTCTGTTTCTTTAATTGACACATCTGCATCCCTGATGAAATATTTAGTGCCTCTGACAGTGGTGATCAAGGTTGAGCTGCTGATGGTGAAGTCGAGACGTCGTTATGTTGGCGATCTCATTAGCATACGTCCACCCTTGGTGAATTCCTGGATTATTGTAAACCCAAGAGATTGGGGTCGTGTTTAAAAAAAACTCTCAGAACCTTTTTGTGTTATAATTATTCATTTGAACTGTTTAGAGGACTCAAACAATATCACATGACTCATGTTGCTATATCCATTAATAATTTTAAGACATACAAAGATACATACATAAAACCTTACCTTTATTTTTTAACAGAAAAACTACAATTTGAAAATTTCTTCATCCATAATGGTTTAATGTGGATTATGTAGTTTATTAATTCATTTTTTCATCTTTCAAATTACCAGGAGAGAGAAAAACTCAGTGAGATTAAAAATCTCAGTACATGAGTGCCCTGGCCAAAACTGGTAACAAAAACCAAAGTTTCATAAAACAAACTTTAACAACCAAATTTACCATTAAAACAAACATATATAACACTCGAAAAAAAAAAAACCTTAATGGTAACATTTAGATAAAAAAGTGTTAAATATCATTTTAGAAATGGTGAATCTTTGCGAAAAGTTGGCCCTGTAGATAAGAGGGTCCTTTATGTACAAAACCTCTACAAATATATATTAAATTTTACAAAGCCATACAAAAGTATCACTTTGTATAAGTTCTGAAGTTCCTTCAACTTGTTTTTGTATTTGATGACTTTCTGTGTGTTTGTGAGAATGCATGTATGCGTGTTCTTTGCTGAAAGTGTCAGTGTATCAGAGTGTGTGGTATGTTTGTGTGTTAACCAAGCATTTTGTGTGTGTTTGTGTGTGTGTGCACCATGCCTGTCGGGATGTGGCGGCCCTCTCAGCCATGTCATGGACAGCTTCGTCGAGGGTGGCAGGCGGGGAAAATGATGATGATGAAATTAAAATTCTGCGCCTGGCAGAAGGGGCTGCCGCTATTTCACTGGCGGCTGTGCGCATCGATCTGTTCCAGCATTTGACTTTCAACCATGACAAAACTGTGGGCAAATTAATTGTTCTCCAGGATATTAGGCATCAGAGTCCATTAATCCTCTCTGGAGCACCACGCCACATGAATACTAATCGTCTTTCCAGGCAGTCGTCTCATCCTGTGCTCCCTTTCTTTCTTTTTCTTCCTCACTCCTCTTCTTTCTCACTCGGATTTTGCTCTTAACGTGTATCTTCTTCTCTGTTATGTCTTTACTTTTTTCTTCTTTAGTTCTTGTTTCTGCTCTGACTGATTCTTTAAAAGTTTTATCATCCATTCTTTGCTCCTTAAAACTGACAAAAAGCTGGTGTTGTTTCATCTGGAAGCTGAGAGAAAAGAAAAGAAAAAACATTACATTCAAGTTATTGTTTAAAGCTTGAGCTTAAAAATGGGGGAGAAAGTGTCACCTAAAAAATGGTGATTGGGAAACATTCAAAAAAATAGTCTGTCAAGGCACTGAAATGGGTTTTTGAATTATACACTGTCTTCTGTATATTTCACCTGGATTACTTTGCCCAGATAAGACTGTGCTAATAGCGCAGTATTAGTCTCTATAAGGATCAGCTTGGCATTTGGGAAAGGGAGAGGAAAAAGCAGCCCCCCAACACCAATTATGTAAGATATTAACACATTAGCCAGAGCAGGATCTAATTGGATGGCAGCCCTGTGCACCATGACAACAATCACCTAGACCCTGTTTATCTCGTAATTGATAGTCTGGTGCTTAAGCAGCAGACGCATCAAAAATTCATACAGCAAAATGAGGACTGGCCCTTATTTTCAAGCCACATATTGATTAGTTTTTATTTTCCTCCCTCTAACCAGGTAATTGTTTGAGTTTTGGGACGAGCTCCTGTTATTGATGTTTCACTGTGTTTTGATAGATGGCCGGTGGGCTGCGGCACTAATACTGTAAGATATCTGACACTCAGACACGCGGGGTCACAGCGCCAGACACAATATATTCACAGCCCTACTTATCGACAAACCATCTCAAGTATTGGCCATGTCCCGTAATAAATATGTATGCTGCAGAGGGGTGTTTTTAAGGCCCAAATAATTGGTTTTCAGTGTATTGTTAGGCTACCAGCCCAAAGGAAAAGAGCTGCCATTATCAGAAACTAATCTAAAAAGCATTCTATTACTTTTTCAAAGAGCGTTAAAGAGCAAATGATGTAAGCAAGTTTTAATACCATAGGTTTTCATGAGGGATTGAAATAAAGTTTTAAAGGTAACAGATTTTAAAACAACCTTATAATAAAAATAGGACAACTACTATTGTTGATAGTGCTAATAAAAAAGAATCAGCTTCCTGCCAACTCTCCATCACTTTTATTTTCTCTCTGAATCTGTATTCACCTGTACAGGTTTTGAGTCAACACTAAACGCTGGGATCGGTGGGCAATTAGCAATAACAGTTAATATGACGTAATTAACATACTGCTCATCAGACGTTATTAACAGTAATGACCTGCAACAAAACTTTTTAAATTCAGTCCTAAATACTGTATATAAAACATTCAAGCAATAAGTTAGCCTTGCTTAAACTTTAGTCTTTGTTTTGTATTGATGTGGGGGTTTGAATGCTTGAAGGAAATAACTATCTTACCTGCTATACCGTATATATACAGTATATCTTTGACCTTGAAGAAATAAGGATTAGTTCTGACTGGACATTTGGTGTAACAGGAGGTCTGAGAGGGATCCATAATAAAGTAAATATAAAGCAATATCTAAAGCAACTCTAATCTCAAACATGCCATCTTTAATCATCCATATTTTATTTTTTATAAACCAATAGAATGCAGTCAAATCACACATGAAATATGATGCAGTTTTTAAGATCTGATTTGCTTACAGTAAAATGGGAATAATCCATTTTTAACTTGGTTTCCCTTGAACTAGCTGTTTGCTTGTCAGAATCAGTAACAAATTATTATTCAACAGCAAGTTATTTACTGTTCATTACATTTCCACAAAACTCTACAGCAGAAAATCAAAACAATTTATTTAATGTGAAAATGTTTTTTAAGGCCAACTACCAAGTTGTTTTATATACCAGTTAATACTTATCGTAGAGTTGATGAGTTCTTTCATTAATCCTATTGTCCCAATCTGTTCTCCAACTTGACTGTTTTACGTTCCATAACTTATATAATTATTAATAAACCATCTTATCTGACTATGTGTGTAATCACTGAACTGATTTCTCTTTCAAGTGAAAATTATCAGATGCATTTTTAGACATAAAGATGTTCATGTCATTTCTCTCATTTGGTTATTGACAAAAAAAAAACATGTGCAAAGCTAAAATTATATTTGGTTGTGCACGTTTCCATCATGATGTTTCCACCCTGCAGTTAATGCCAGAAAAGATTTTGAATAAAAAATGTGTTTCTGTTTCTGAAGATACCTCCGAACCTCTATTTTTGGGTTGAGATTGTTTTTCTACAGACGTTTTTAATGAGAACAGTTTTACAATAATTTTGTATTACCACAAATTGGACAAGGTGCAGTGGTTTTGTTATGAAAAGCACACAATTATTCTTGTGTATTGGACTTTAAAAGACTGTTAATGACAGAAGGAGAGCAGTGGGCAGGCTAGGAGTCAAAAGAGCAGAGTGAACAAAAGAATTAGCAGGAAAAGGAAGGAAGTAGAGCATGGAAATAAAGGTGAGAAGGTAGGAGCAGGAGAGCGAGTCCCTCGTGGGTACACTCTGACTAAATCACTCCTCTGCTCCCTGGCTTCCCCTCTTTTCTTCTTGTGCTAATTAATTGGGCTTGGGAATCAACACTCTTATCTTAAATCTGCTCCTTAATTGAGCGGTCCTTTCTGCCAGCTTCAGACAGCTCAGCATGCATCTTACGCATGATTTGGAGCTAAACACACAGTTACTTTATTGCCAACAACATAACTTGAAAACCACTATTAAACCAATCACATATTTACCACAATTAGTGTATTGCCATGTTCAGGGCACTTTATTTTGTCAACCCGTTTACACAGAAAGCAAAATTGAAGGTATGGTTCATTTAGCTGGTTCTGTTCTTTGAAGGAAAATCAGGCCCAGTTTACACAACGCTGCTTTAGAGGGAAATTGAAACAGTTTATCAACATGAAGTCAGGATTCAGATTATCTGACTCTGAAACGTTTTAAATCCAATTCTCAGAGTAAATGTTTTTCAAAACTCCTGTCATCTGGTAATTTACCTGACAGCAGAAGTATTCAGACATTGGCACTATGGTGGAGTCAGTGCTGCAAATGATGCCAATCTGCTTTTTCCTTAAATTTTTTTAAATAGAATAAAAAAACCACGTAGCAGCAACTCAACTTTATTGTTGGTCTAAACAAATGTTCAGATATTTGCCATTTTGAATGGAACTCTTCTCATGTTTGAGACAGATATAGAAAAACCACAGTGCCAACTAGTGTCCTGGCATGGAAACTAGAGCCGGTTGAATGTTTGTTTGCACCTTGTCTAAATGGTGGTTGTGTCACAATGTTACCATGTGAACAAGAAACATAAATTTCAAACTGCAGCCTTAAACTTGCAAAAGTTGAAGGAGTTGTGGTAAAAGAAAATAACCATATGCCATAAGTTCAGTGTGAAAAATAATATTGTTTAAATTTGGTGATTATTAATCCAAAGATTGTGACCTCTGTGTAAAAAGCAAAGAAAATGCTATAATTTGAGAGTCAGACAGCCTCCGACAAAATATGAGTGTGATTTTCCAAAAGTTTGTTTAAATTTTTTGATTTTCTTGTTTTTCTTTTAAGCCTATTAATCAGTTTTACTTTTTGTTCCCCGCACAACACCAGGTTTCTAACCATATCCTGCGGTTTTTACAATTTGCCAACTTGTAGCTTCTTTTTCTTCCCTTTGCCTCCTTCAACCACCATCTGCCTAATTTCTTGACGAGACCATTTTAAGACACTTTTTTTGTAATTTGAACATTTTTTTGTCTCCCAGTTTCACTCTCGAAGTCAAAAAATTAGTTAAAACAATGAGTACTAAGTACTATCTAGCCAAAAATACACTCAAAAAACATCTAAACACGTCTTATTAGCCTCTTTTATCCTGACTCAGACAAATTTCTGAACAAGATTAGTTAGTCTGGTGTGATCAGGTAGTATTATTTACAACAGCAATAGTACATAGTTATAGAGTCATTACTTGGACAAACCATAAATTACTTCTGTGGTTTCTTGTGGTTGGTGGTGTTGAGATATTTAAGCCTTCTTGCTTTTCATCATTATAAATCATATAATACAGCATGTCTGTTTTATAGGCTGAACTGTGGAAACATAGGTATGAGGGAAAATTATAAGGTGTTATGAACTGTTAGTCTCTGGTAATGTCAGTACATATGTCATCGTTTTCAGTGAGTCCGTTTCAAGAGGGAAACGAACATTAAAGAACTGGTGGGACTACATGCCTCAGAATCAAATCTGGTTTTACTTACAGGAACAGTTCCCACCCACTTGTTCTCTCGTTGGTCCAGCTGCGAACAGTCTCGTGCATGAACACACATCGGGAGCGGAGTTTAATGTGTTGTGCACGCCGAGAGCTGGTCCAGCGCCGCCGCAGCACTTTCCTTCTTTGTCTTGAAATGAGGGAGTGATGTCATTGTTGCTCTGGGGTTTCTGAGTTACTGGGATGAGGTCTTCAGGGGTCAACACAACCTTGGTTTCAGTGTCCCCCCCCCCACCCAAACCCCCCTTCCACTACCATGTTCTACACATTATTCAGTTTTCCTACAGAAGCTCTCACTTTTTTAAACTCTCATGTGGATTACAGTCATAATTTGTAATCTTAAACATGAAGTTTGACCCTGACTTTTACTTATTTTTTAATTTATTTTTTTATTTTTTGTGATTTGGTGCTACGTAATACAATTTTCTGAATAGTCTTAGAATGAATCTGATTTTTATAAAATCAAACAAAAGTGCAAATCGCTGATTTCCTGTAAACCTCCAGTTTATCCAACACTTGTTTCTTGTGTTCTGGTAGTAACAAGTGTCCCAGTCCACCTTCTGTTTAGAACAGCTGGCAGGTGCAGAGGACCAGAGGAAAACAACATTTACTTTGATGACTTCTTACAACCCATTAATATATTTTTCACCAGAGATGAAATCCTTTTTCATTCAGTGACTGTTGTGGTGCATTTATTTATCTAAAACCTGACTTGAAAATGCTGAATCTTGCCCAACTCTTTTGTACCTCTGAGGTTCATATCTTTGCGTATCTTTCTTTAGGCAACTTGTGATGTTGGCTTTATGAACTATAAAGTGCAATTAGTGTGATAGGAGTATCAGTTTGTTTA